TTCCTTTGGGGCCGGCCCGATGGCGCAAGCGGTTAAGGGAGCGCGCTCTGCTGTGGTGGCCCGGGGTTCGCCAGTTCGGATCCCGGGCGCACACCGACGCACCGCTTGTTAAGCCATGCTGTGGCAGCGTCTCATATAAAGTGGAGGAAGATGGGCACGGATGTTAGCCCAGGGCCAGTCGTCCTCAGCAAAAAGAGGAGGATTGGCAGATGTTAGCTCAGGGCTGATCGTCCTTACAAAAAAAGAAAAAAAAAAAGAACTTTTCCTTTGCATTCGCAGCTTGGCTAACTGGAGCAAGAAGCCTAGCTTTCGGCCTGTCTCGGCTTTCAACATGCCTTCCTCACTAAGCTTAATCATTTCTAAGCTTTTGATTTAAAGTGAGAGATGTGTGACTCTTCTTTTCAGTTGAAAACTTAGAGGCCATTGTAGGGTTATGAATTGGCCTAATTTCAGTATTGTTGTGTCTCAAGGAATAGGGAGGCCCAAGGAGAGGGAGAGAGACAGGGGAACCACCAGTTGGTGGAGCAGTCAGAACATATACAACATTTATCCATTAAGTTCACCGTCTTATATGGGCGTGGTTTGTGGAGCCCCAAAAAGAATTAGAATAGTGACATCCAAGATCACTGATCACAGATCACCATAACAAATATAACAGTAATGAAAATTTTGAAATATTGCGAGAATTACCAAAATGAGACACAAAGTGAGCAAATGCTGTTGGAAGAGTGCACCGATAGATTTGCACAACACAGAGTTGCCACAAAGCTTCAATTTGTAAAAAATGCGGTGACTGCGAAGCACAGTAAAACGGGGTGTATGGTTTTCGTCTGTTTTCTCCCAATGATAGGTTGCCTTTTCACTCCGTTGATTTTTGTCTTTGCTGTACAGAAGTTTTTAATGTCGTCTCACTTGTCTATTCTTGCTTTTGTTGCTTGGGCTTTTGGTATTACAGCCAGGAAATTGTTGCCCATTCCGATGTCATGAAGCCTTTCTCCTATGTGTCCTTTTAGGAGATTTACAGTTTAAGGCGTGGGGTTTAGCACTTTTAATTATTTGCAAATAATCAACACTTGGCTTTCTAAATTCTCTTTATATTTCATTTATTTCAATTATAAATTTTCATTTTTATGTCATTGATTTTTTTCCTCTTTATTTATTTTCTCCTTATTTTTTTTCTCTTCCTTTCCTAACTTCTTAAGGTAAGAGCTGAGTTTCTTTTCTTTAATAATTAAAACTTTTCTTTAGTGCATTCATTTAAAGTTATAACTTTGCCTTTAAGAATTGCTTTATCCGCTGCGTTAGTGTGCTAGGACTGCCATAACAGAGCATCACAGACTGGGGGCTTGAACAACAGAAATTTATTTTCTCACACTTCTGGAGGCTAGAAGTTAAAGATCAAGGCATTGGCAGTGTTGGTTTCTTCTGAGGCCTTTCTTTGGTTTGTAGATGGCCATCTTCTCCCTGTGTTTACATGGTCTTCCCTCTGGATCTGTGTTCAGATTTCCTCTTATAGGGACACCACTCATATTGAATTAGGGCCCACCCTAATAATGTCATTTTAACTTAAAGACCCTATCTCCAAATACAGTCACATTGTAAGGCACTGGAAGTTAGGACTTTCACATATGAATTTGATAGGGGACACAATACAGCCCGTAACAGCTCCATATCACAAATTTTGTTAGTTGTGATGTGTTTTGATGTGTTGTGGGGTTTTTTTTTGTGAGGAAAATCAGCCCCGAGCTAATATCCGACGCCAGTCCTCCTCTTTTTGCCGAGGAATATTGGCCCTGGGCTAACATCCGTGCCCATCTTACTCTGCTTTATATGGGACACCGCCACAGCATGGCTTGCCAAGTGAAGCATCGGTGCACGTCTGGGATCCGAACCTGCGAACCCTTGGGCTGCCGAAGCGAAGCGCACGCACTTAACCTCTATGCCGCTGGGCTGGCCCCTGATGTGTTGTGTTTATTAGAATCATTCAGTTCAAAATATTTTTTCATGTCCCTTGGAATTTTTTCTTTCATCCGTCTGTCTTTTAGACCAGTATTGCTTAATTTCTAATTCTGGAGGTCTTTCCAGAGATCCTACTATTACTGATTTCTACTTTAATTCCATCTTGGGCAAAGAACGTACTCTTTTTAAACTTTAGTCCTTTGAAATTAGTGACTTATTTTATGTGCCTTGGGGATTTCATTTACCTTGGTGGATGTTCTGTGTGCACCTTCTGCACTGTGGGGTTTAGTGTTCTAGAAATGCCCATTTGATCAGTACTGCCTGATAGTGGTTTCAGGTCTCTGATGTTACTGTCATTTTGCTTTTTATTTTACTGAAAGGTGTAGCAAGTTTTCTTAACTATGATTATGATTCTGTTTCTCTTTTCCAGTTTTTTTCTTCAAGTATTTTCTCCCCGTCTATGCCTTGACTTTTCTTTTTCTTACCAGTGTCTTTTGCAGAGCAGAAGTTTTTAATAGAACCCAACTTACCAATTTTTTTCTTTCATGGATTGTGCTTTTGGTGTTATTTCTGAAAAGACATTGCCAAACCAAAGGTCACCTAGATTTTCTCCCATGTTATCTTCTAGGCATTTTATAGTTTCATGTTTTACCTTTAGGTCTGTGATTCATTTAGAGTTAATTTTTTTGAAAGGTGTAATGTCTGTGTCCAGATTCATTTTTGTTTGCATGTGGATGCCCATTGTTCCAAGACTACCATTTATTGAAAAGATAATCCTTTCTCCATTGAATTTCCTTTGCTCCTTTGTCAAAGATCAGTTGACTTTATTTTTGTGAGTCTATTTCTATGCTATTTTGTTCCATTGATCTTTTTGTCTATTTTTTAAATTAATTTTTTGCCTACCACTCTCTCTTAATTACTGTAGCTGTATAGTAGGTTGTGAACTCTGGTTGTGTCACTCTTCTGACTTTGTTCTTCTTCACCATTGTGTTGGCTCTTCGGGGTCTTTTGCGTTTCCATATAAATTTTAGAACCAGTTTGTTGATACCCTCAAAGTAACTTGCTGGGATTTTGATGGAGATTGCATGAATGTATAGATCAAGTTGGGAAGAACTGGCATCTTAACAATATCAAGTCCCGCTATCCATAACGTGGACTGTCTCTCTATTTATTTAGATCTTTGATTTCTTTCAGCAGAGTTTTATGGTTTTCCTCATAGAGATCTTAGACAAAAAGTTTTTTAAATTTATACCTAAGTATTTCATTTTTCTGGATGCTAATATAAATGTTGTAGTGTTTTTAATTTCAAATTCCATTTATTTATGGCTGGTATATAGGAAAGCGATTGATTTTTGTATATTAACCTTGTGTCCTGCAGCCTTGATATAATCACTTGTTAGTTCTAGAAATTTCTTGTTGATTCTTTGGGATTTTCTATATAGATAATCAAGTCATCCACAAACAAAGACAGTTTTGTTTTTTCCTTCCCAATCTGTGTACTTTTTCTTTTCTTTTCTTGTCTTACATTAGCTAGGACTTCCAGTGTGATGTTGAATAGAAGTGGTGAGAGGGGACATCCTTGCCTTGTTTCTGATCTTATCAGGACAGCATCCAGTTTCTCACCATTAAATATGATGTTAGCTGTAGATTTTGTATTCTCTCTTTTTTTTTAAGCATAGCCACAATTATTTACAGATGGTATCAGCACAGCTCATTCTTAACCTAAGCCTAATAAAACTAATATTGATTCTTTAATACCATCTAATATCCAGTCAGTGTTCAGAGTTCCTCAATTGCCTCAAAAATGTCTAAACAAGGTCTACATGTTACATTTGATTGATATGCCTCCTAAGTCTCCTTTTATTCCATAAGAGCCCTCCTTTTTTTTTATGCTGTTAATTTGTTGAAGGCTTCACATTTTTAAAAAATTGTAAATATGTTAATTCACTCCTCAGGACTTCAGTATAATTTCTTAATAATGACTTGTTGTTTTCCTCTATGTCCAGAATGTCATGGTCATACCTAACAATATTTACAGTAATTCTCTAACATTGTCTCAGACACAGTTCATATTGAACTGTCCTTCATAGTCCCCAGATGTTTTTCAGTTTGTTTGTGCAAACTAGGACCCAGTCAAGGTCTATAGATGACATCTGAAGAATGGTTTCTCTCTTTAGTATCTTTTTTTTTTGGTGAGAAAGATTAGCCCTGAGCTAACATCTGTTGCCAATCCTCCTCTTTTTGCTGAGGAAGACTGGCCCTGGGCTCACATCCATGCCCATCTTCCTCTACTTTATATGTGGGACACTGCCACAGCATGGCTTGATGGGTGGTGTGTAGGTCCGTGCCCAGGATCTGAACCTGCGAACCCCGGGCTGCCGAAACGGAGTCCGTGCACTTAACCACTACGCCATCGGGCCAGCCCCTATCTCTTAAGTATCTTTTCACGAAGGAAAATCTCCCCTTTTAAAAATTTGTTTATGAAATTGACTTGTTGAAGACTGGGCCATTTGCTGACTGCCCATTTTTAAACTTCAAGTTAGGTTTCAAGTCTTAGGAACCTAATCTTGGATATTTAAGTGGAGAGGAGGGTGCAGCCAGGTTACGGCTTCTACCCTGCTTCAAGTCCCCCCAGTCTGCGTTCTGTGGAGTCCTGGAGTGCTCTTCCTGCTTTGAATTTCCTGGGTCTCGCCCTTTGGCCTCAGGGTAGATATGGGGGGGCGAGCTGCTGTTTTCACTAGGATAGGTCACTTTATTTCTCAGTGTGAGTGCTCCCCTGTGGGCACTCTGAGGCCCTTTACCTCTTAATAGAGTCCACACAGTGACAAAGTCTCTCCCAGCTGCTAGGGGCTGAGAGCCTCAGTTTCCCAACTGAAGATTGAAGCTGAGTCTGCTGCTGTTCCAGCTCTGGGGGCCTTATGTACAGGACACTGGTTAAGAATCGGCTTCTCTGATGCCCTCTGCAACCTGCCTTCCTTACCTCTCCCTCGTCCTGCTGAACTGGGAGGCTGGATGCACGGTACACCTCCCCAGCATCCCTCTCACTTCTCTTCTCTTTCCCCAGATCTGCCTCTGCCATTTGACTCTTCTCTAGGAGGAGCACTCTTCTCTCGGAGACCGGGAATATGGCCCCAGGGCTCCTGACGACCACAGATGAGGTAAGTGCTGCCCTTTCTTCCCAGCTCGTGCAGGATGGACCCAATGCCTTTCCTTGTCCTGGAGCTGCCTTGTGGGTGTTAGGCCACACCTTGCCCTGATCTTGGAGGTGTGGGCCATCTTACCTGGAGCCTTCTCTCAGACTCCTCTACCCATCCATGACTCAGGCATTCACCAAGTCGTAAACTGATGAGCACATCCTAAGCAGTTAAAATGAAAATACAGGACATATATTCTCACGTGCTCAGCGAGTCCTAAGGCCAAAAAAGCGAAGGAAGGCTTTCAAAGGAAGAGTTGCCTGAGCTGCCCCTGATGGACTTGCAAGTTGAAGAGCTAAGGGAGGGCACTCCTGTGGGAATGTTGCAGGAAGCCTAGTGCATCTTAGAGACGGGGAACCAGCAGGCTGTCCCTCGCCGTACGGGAAGCTTGAAGCAGCCAGTGGCCTTTGGTCTCATCAGTTCTCTCTGTGTAGAGGTGAGGATGCTGATGTGCTGTCCACTTGTGACGTGTGGATAGATTTGGTCGGGTCAGCCCTGTGCTTGATATTTAAATGAGTTTTCTACACTTAAAAATTGGAAAATTATACCTGAAGGTCTGGATTGCCAACTTCTCTGAGAATAGTTTATTCCCCACTGGCTTGAGTCCCCACTCTTGGCAGATGACAGGTAGCTGGAGCCAAGTAGCATCTCCACAGTGTAGTCACACCTCCTTGTGTCCCTTGACCCTGAGTCCGAGGCCCCAGCTTCACTCACTCATTACTTGTCTGGCACCTGAAGGCTGTGCCTTCATCCTCCTGAGCCAGGAAGGAGACAGTTCAGCCAGAACCCTGGAAGCCAGGCTGAAGAGTGTGGACTTGAACTTGGAGCAAGCTGGGTTTTGAAGGATTTTGAGAAGGAATTTGCCATGTTGAAATCAAGGCCTGGAAATAAATATTAATTGAGTAAAAAAAGGAATGATTGTCTAATCCCTAAGACTAGGTAGCATGTGAATTTGACGTAATAGAATAAACGTTTACATCTGAACAGGTGCCAGATGGGATACTTTTGTGTTGATTATATCAATTACACAAAATAGTGTCCATTTTGCTAATTCAGTTTTGCATTGCCTGTCCTATAAATAAATATGTCAAGTGTAGAATGTGTAGAATTTTTTTGCAAGAACATATGAACTTGGTCTTAATACTGGGCTTATATGGTGGATATTTGCCTGTTACTGTATAAGTTAAAAATGATTGGTTTTGATGTTAACAGAACATCATTGAGAGCTGTGTGTCCCTCAGTTGTCAGATCTTTTATACCTTTGAGAGAAAATGTGTATGTAGTGCATGCAGTGTTCCCTAAGGTAACCAAGAAAGTTTTTCTTTTGTATGTTGCACTTTACCATTTATGATGTTAATAGAGAAGCGTTCTTGGCCGAAATGGAGCATTGTACCAGATTACTTCCCTGTCTCTACTCTGCAACTTCCTGTGGGGTTCTTAGCACAGCCTGAACCTCATCCTGTCTATGACCAACATCTCTCAAAATACATTATTTTCCTTTTATTCATTTCCTCATGAAAAATTGATGCCAGGGCACAGGCATCAGAGTGGCTTAGTTTTTGAAGATGAAGTTTCCATACCTGTAAGAGTATCTGGCACTCATAACATACTTATTTTATAAAGGGACCACAATCTTAGATTATTTTGAAAGAACTAAAGAACAAAGGAGTTTGTTTTGCTGTTTGTTAAATTTGAGGAATAGAAACTACATATTTTAGGGTTCTTCAAATTCCATTTCCAGGTAGTTTGTTGTGTGTCACATCTGAATTATATAGAATATTCTGACCTATATATCCAACGTGACGTTTAGGCATTTCTCCTAAGGGCTTTTGCCTGAGAGGAGAAATTGGAATATGCATTATAGTTGTGACACAGAAGGGGACTGTGCCTACAGGCTATTGTAAGAAATTAGTACTCCTTCATTGAATCTTTAAAAATTTTTTTGAATGTCTGCTGTGTGCAGGAGCCTTTGAAGGTCTACAAACAGTGATACCTACAGCACAGACTCCATGCTTACAAGACTCCCAACTTATTTAGGGGTTTACCCATCATTGGAGTTAAAACATTTTTAAATTTTTTATTGAGATATAATTCACGTCCAGTAAAATTTGCCCTTTTAACATGTACAATTCAGTATGTTTCAGTATATTCACAAAGTTGTGCAACCCTCACCACTGTCTAATTGCATAATGTTTTCATTACCCACTAAAGAAACCCCATACCCATTAGGAGTGACTCTGCATTCTCTCTTCCCCCTCCCCTGGCAACCACGAATCTACTTTCTGTCTCTAAGGATTTGACTATTCTGGACATTTCATATAAATGGATTTGACTATTCTGGACATTTCATATAAATGGATTTGACTATTCTGGACATTTCATATAAATAGAATCATGAATATGTGGTCTTTTGTGTCTGTTTTCTTTCATTTAGCATATGTTTTCAAGGTTTATCCATGTTGTAGCCCAAATCAGTAATATTTTCATTCTTCTCTATGGTTGAATAATATTCCATTGTATAGATAAACCACCTTTTGTTTATTCATTTTTCAGCTGATGGACATTTCAATTATTCCTATCATTGGAATTTAGTTAAATTAATATTTTTGGTCTGTGTGCATCTTTGACGGATTTTAATGGTAAAATCGTAGTGTATTAAAACTAGTGATAACCTCAGCATCATACTTTTAAAGATGAAGAAACCACTAATATTCACATTCAAATCTATGACTCTTTAGAGGTTAAAAACATTCACAGATTTCCACTGTTTTTCAGTTGTTGGAAATTTAACTTGTTCTCAATGTTTGGGAACCTATTCTGTGGAAATTTTATTCATGAAATGAATTTTGGACTTACAGTTATTCTCAGCACAAAATATGACTGAGGAGGAGACATCAGGGTTTTAAATGGTGTGAGCTACAGCTCTATAGTAGAGTATCTGTGTTCTTTTTGTCTACTTTCAAAACCACCACAGGCTGCTGCCACACCTCTGCTCTCTGTTCCACCACCAGCTTCCTTTCCCTCCTCCCAGGTGCTCCAGCCCACCTATGTCCTGGACTTCCTCCCTCTCTTCCTTTGCTCATGGCATCTGTGTTCCCTGCCTCCCTCTATGCCTCATGTAGATCCTTAGACCTTTACTCTTTCCTTGACTATTCTGAATCTTACCCATCTTTCAAATTTTAAATTTTTTTATTGAGATATAATTCACATGCCATAATTCATCTTGTGGATGAAATTATCAGACAAGCACTTTAAACTCTCTATTGTAATCATGCTCAATGAGGAAAAGGAAAATGTAGTAATATCAGATGAAACAGACTTTAAGACGGAGAGAAGGAAGACCAATTTTGAATGATATGAGAGTCACTTCATCAGGAAGACATAACAGTTATGTGTCTGTATCTAATAACAAAGCTTCAAAATAATTGACAGAATTAAAGGGAGAAAAAAGCAACTGTACCATTACAGGGGATTTTAACCCCCTCTGAGCAATTGATAGAACAACTAGGTAAAAATCAGTAAAGACATAGATGATCTGAAAAAAACTAGCTACTGGGTCATCCCTATTGATAGTTATAGAATACTGCACCCTACAACTACAGAATACACGTTATTTTCAAGTACATTCACTGTGGTCACCAAGATAGACTACATGCTGGTCTATAAAAGAAGTCTTAATACATTTAAAAGAATTTAAAGAATGCAGAGTATTCTGTGACTCTAATAACATTATATTACAAAATCAATAATAAGATATATAAGTAAATGTCAAATATTTGGAAATTAAACAACACACTCCTTACTAATCTTTAGGTCAAAGAAGAAATTGCAAGAGAAATTAGAGAATATTTCAAGCAGAATGATGATGGAAATATAATATGTTACAACTTGTAGGAGGTTAACCTTGGTGGTTGTGCCCCACCAGCCCTTCAGCTGTGCCCTTCACCACACCTGGGGCTAGGGTTTCTGTGCTGGCCCCACCCCTGGCATCCAACTGGGAGACCCTTGTGGTGTCCCCAGAGAGACTGAGAGAAGGACAGGGTATTGCTGTTGGGGCCCGTGTATTTTCCGTCCCACCTGACTTTCTGTTCCTTGATGATGAAGCTCATGGTCTGCAACTCATGGTGAGGTTACAAGGACCAGCACTGAGGACAGGCAAGGGGGCTTAGCAGTTGGGAAGTGACTGGGACCACCGCCCTGGAGCCAACACCTGCTTGCTTTCTCAGGCTTAGATAGAGGCAACTACATGTGTGCACAGTGCTAGCTTGCCAATTCAGCTGATGAGCTGCTGTGGTTTTTATCTGCATTTCTTGTGTGTCAGACACATAGGGCCAGAATGCAAAGCTTCCTTTGCCTAATGAGATAGAGAACTTCAGGACAGAAACATCATAGGCTCTGCTTTCAGTGGACTCATGTTTGAGTAGGAGAATATTTGTGTACACAAAACCTAAATCAGAACGCAATTCTGCAATGGAGATGGAGACAGGCCATCTTACTTTGTGAAAGGAGAAATGTCAGATGTTGGTCTCCTATTAGCCCTGGGAATGGTCTCCAGGAATGGTACTCAGGAGCCTGCTTTGGGAAAGCATGTAACACTGGATCGGGTTGGATTCCTCCAAGACCCTCCCTGAGGAACTCTCTTGTGTTCCTGGCAAGTGACCATGCTCCACAAGAAGAATTCCGCAGGAGCAAGAACCCAGGGATGTGATGAGCATAGGAGCAATGTCCGTCTAAACTCAGACTTTCTACACAGAAGAGTGATACTTAAAGAGCAAGAACCCACAAATGTGTCATTTGTGGAAGAAGCTTCAGATTCAATTCTGAGCTTAGGCAACATCAGAAAATTCTTTCTGGTGAGAAACCCTACTTGTGTGATAACAGCAGTAAATGTTTCATTCAAAGCTCAAAACTTAGTATCAGAGGATTCATACTGGAGAGAAACTTTACAAGTGTACTGAATGTTT